TATCTCTTTTCCCTGTTGATCCAAAGAAGTTTGGCTTCTGTGAATCTCTCTTCCTGGAGCTATGGCTCAGAGTTTATGCAGCAACCAAGTAATGCCATTTAATTCCAACAACAGGAATTTACAAAGCTTTAGAGACAAAGGACTCAGACCAGAGGCATCTCTCTCAAACGCCTAGAGCCTTAGGAAGGCTCAAACAAGCCTGGCCAGAGGGAGTGAGCTACAAACACCCCTTGGTGCATGTCCCCCGAATTTTGTCATCCATCACCTTCCTGACCCGATGGGCACTGGAGCAGCCTGGCGCAGAAGACTTCCTCCTGAACTTGCCAGCACATCTGCTTATTAGAATGATTTTTCTTTTGATTCCCAGCCCTGGCAGTGCTAGCCCTCTAACTTTGCCAGAGGCTGGAGTTAGTCTTTTCCCAGGGACTAGCTGAGGAAATCTTTAATGACTTCCTGCCACATTTACAGCAGATAACATATCTCGAGGCATTGTGCTGACTTCCCGCCTCATCTGGAGAGCTCTGAAACCAAACAAAGTCAGCAAACGCACAAACCAGTAAGTGCTAGAGTAGCTGTGCTTAGCTACGCAGCAACCAACCCTTCCAAAATGTAGATAGCATATCATCTGAGAGTTATTACCCAGCTACTCATCTCATAAATATTTCCATGTAGCACTTGGCCTACTTATGCCTTAACGCTGTGGGAACCACAAGCACCAGTGGTGTTACAAGTGCTAGTGTGGAGCCATCCACTGTTATCTGCTTGGGATGACCAGTGGCAGAGCCTATGAAGGCTTGGAGGGTCTTATATACCACTGGCTCAGTGCAAAGGCACTGCACCATCCTCTGCTACCATGCTCTACTGTGGTTTTTACCTTGCATAACACAAATAAGAATCCCCATCTCTCCACACACACACACAGTAAGGACAGAGCACTCAGGAACAGGTTTTGCCCTGGCTAAGAGGAGCAGCTAAGATCTGCGCAGTGTCAGAACATCTCCAGATGCCTGCCCAATTACACCATACAGCAATTATACACACTCTACTTTGGCATTAGCTGGCAAGGGCTGGAATGTAAGCATGACCCTGGCACCTGTACCAAAAAGAGCTGTTCCAGTGCTGCTAGCCTGGCCCTTGCATGCTTTGCAGAGATTCCTCAGAGACCTGCTGCTTCCTGCTGTGGCAGCTCACAGCCACAGGAGGGAACCTGGGCCCAGATGTACAGTCAAAACAAGGCAGTTTTCCCAAGCCTACAGTTCTGAGAGACAGAGCCCTGCAAGACTTTAATGCTTTTGAAAGATTTTCTCCCTCAGCACTCATTGCTTGCACAGCTGATCTGCAATAAGCAGCTTTTCCTGTTTATCACAAGGCTATGATCCAGCCCGCTGGGTGCTTTTAAACAGCAATATTTAGAGTGTGCCATCATTTTTTTTTTTCCACGCAGGGGCTTGGTGTGAAACAAATTACCCAGGAGACACCAAGAGTTGGCAAAACTCTCCTGTCCGGAGATTTCGGGATGTGGTGCTTGGGCTGGCATTTCCTTCTGCAGGCTGGCACTGGATCCACTTGCCACAGACACCGGGCTTCGTGCCCTTGGCTCAGAAAAGAAGGAGAGAAAACCTGAGCAAGTGATGTCCCAGGGAAATCTCCCCACGCAAACATGTGCAAGGTGCCACAGCTGCTGTGGAGAGCAATGCCCGGCTCTGTGCAGGGACAGGAGCAGAGCAAACCCTCCATGAACTCAGCTTTGGGGTTTACAAAGTGATGACATAGGCTGTCCTCATATTATTACACATATTTGCCTAATGAGTTGGGTAATGTAATTAAAATAGAGTCCTTTTTTTCCTTTAATTAAGTTATCAGTGGCTTAGCCATATTGATTTATCGATTGCCATTAGTGCTGCCACAGAGGAGATGTTCTCTGCAGTGGGAACTGTGTAAACCGCCGTCAGATCTCCTTGTTTACTGGAAAACCTTGTAATCTGCCCCTACATCATGCACATTAATGGCATTTCCCTTTTAAGCAATAAACGTTTGCATAAAGGCACCGGTTGAGTAGAGGAGGGCCCTTTTTTTCAGTCTATTCCCAGTGTGAGAAGATCCCTAAGGAACTCGGCACCACTCAGCAAGGCATCAGCTCTTCCTGGGCTCCCAAGGCTCCTGCAAGGCAGTGGTAACTTGTTGTTCTGTGAAAGAGCAGCTCCCAAATGCTAGATGCAAACGCAGCAGCTGCGTGTGCAGCTCAGATCAAGGAATAGTGAACGAGGCATAGGAAAAAAAGTGCTTTGAAGAAAAACTGTGGACTAGATAGGGGGAGAAAAGGAGGAGAAGGCACAAATCAAAAGAGAGGAAGTAAGCGGGGATGAGCTTAACCAGAAGATAACGGGGAAACGTGGAAATCCCCACGATGAGGACACAGTGAGGGAATCGGAAGGAAACAAGGCAAACAGCTAAATGGAACAAAAGCAAGGTCAGTCAGAGCTGATCTTGGAAACAACTGCAAAGAGAGTGGCACCAGCAGCCCTTTAAAAACACGCAGTTAAACTTCCTGGCTGATTTTTTTTTTTTTTTTTTTTCAGAAGGACAACAAGGGTAAGCAATCTGCTCCCTCTGCATGTTGACAGCAGACAGGCACCCAACTGCTTTTTCTCAGGATATACTCCACAGAGATCCATCTTATCTCAGGAAAGCCTGTTGACATGTGTTGGGAAACAAGAACAAAACACTCACTTAAGCCTCTTGCCGTCCCCCCGGATTGCTTTCTAATGTGTGCGAGGATCTAGAGGGAACGGAAGTCAATGGGCTGATACCAGCGAAGTGTGCTCAGATTTCCCCAGAGCTATTTACGTGTGCCGTCAGGTAACGAGCTGACACGGCCACGTCAGCCCGCGTCTGCTTCCCTGCTCCTGACAGCCTCGGCCGAGCTGCGCCGGGGGCAGCAGCGTGGATGTCGCTGCCGGAGATTATCCTCCCACCTCTCCGTAAGGGAGCCGCGCACGCACTCCTGCTACGTAACAGATGGAAGTGCAAGGGAATGCATCTCGCCCAGCAACTGCGGCCACATCCATTTTCCTGGAAGATCTTTGGGGTGCACTCAAATTTCGGATATTGAAGATATACAGAGATCTTTCTCTGCCTTTGGTAAACTGGCACAGTGTGGAAGTGAAGTTACAGCCTTGTTGGGAGCACCAGATACAGCTGGGTGGATTGCCACGTACATCTTCAAAAAGAGGAAATAGGAAGATTATTTATTATTTCCAAGTGTTCAGTGTTTCACACTGAATGATTTCAAATTCACAAGCTTGGCATGGGATAAAGATTGGAAGCAGCATTAAAAAAAATGAAATTAACTGGAGGTTTTGTTCATTTTTTACCTCACTTGCTGCAGTTTGGGACTCACTAAGCTCCTGTGTCCAAACATTCTAAAATATTTTTTAATGAAAGGTGAAATTGCATAAATCAGCCAGTGAGAATAGTGGGGCTTAGAAAAAGAAAATTCACCAAATACCTGTATAACATACAATAAAATCGTAAGAGCTTGCAAGAATGCATAGTGTCCCAAAAAAAGGCACAGGAAAACAGAGAATTTCCATGCCTATGTTCATTTTGCAGAGAGCTTTTCCAGTCATTGCAATATAGCTCTAATGAAGACACTGACAGAGATCTTTCAAAACACGTAAGACTAGAGCACAGGCTGAAAATTGACAAGGTTTGCACATTCTGAAGCCAGAGACACA